TTGGATACATCCAGCGATAGTTGACAGGACCAGCAAGCAATGCCTCTTCTGGCAAGTGAACTATCACGTGCATCATACTTGTGAAGAAAGCTGGAGGAAATATCATCTCAAACTTGCATAGGAATTGGACAATGTCATGGCGCAACTGAAACATGTCCGTTTTTGGCAAAATTTTTGCTATCAGTTGGGAAAAAAATATGGACAACAAAATGATTGGCTTCACTACATCTTCCGGCAATAGGTGTCGAATACCAACAGGAAGTAGGCGTTGGATAAACACATGGCAGTCATGGCTTTTAAGTCCAGTAAATTTACCCCCGTCAATATTCACACGACGTGCGATATTAGAAGTATACCCATCGGGAAACTTTACAGACGATACAAACTTTAGAAACTCTTTCTTATCATTCGGTTTCATAGAAAAGAATGCAAGATCCCTTCTAGCTTTATCATTGTCCCTATTCATCCATAAACCCCTTCGTATGCCCATTTTTCCCAAATCAAGACGAGCTTTGATCGTCTTAAGCTGGTCCAATATCTCATCCCCGGACCATTCTCTGGGTCTAAGGCGACGCTCTGTGTTCCCGTCGAACTCTTTATCTTTTTCCCTCCACTCATGGTCCCATGGCAACCATCTCCGATGACCAAGGTAACAAACTTTTCCAACATGCCAACCAGAAGTTACATCTTCCTTGCATACAGGACATGCCATATAACCTTTTGTGCTCCACCCAGAAACCATTGCATATGCTGGGAAATCATTCACAGTCCACATAACTGCTGCCCGCAAAGTGAACATCTTCCCAGTTGATTTATCGTACGTGCGAACACCGTTTGTCCACAAATCCTTCAGCTCATCAACCAGTGGCCTTAAGTAAACATCGATTGACCTCCCAGGATCCTCAGTTATCACAACAGTCATCATCATGTATTCTTTTTTCATGCATTTCCAAGGCGGCAAATTATATGGGAATACGAAAATCGGCCAAGTGCTGTGGTGTTGGTTTAGAACCCCATACGGATTGAATCCGTCAGTGGCAAGTCCCAATCTAACATTTCGGGGATCAGCAGCAAACTCTGGGAACGTTCGATCGAACTCTTTCCATGCCTCCCCATCTACAGGATGCCACATCACATCCTCGTCTACCCCCCGTTTTTCCTGATGCCATCTCATGTCTGTGGCAGTATGCGTCGACATATACAATCGCTGCAACCTAGGTTTCAGGGGCAAATAACGCATGACTTTTTGTGGGATCTTAGTCGTCCTATTCTGAGATGTCATCTTGAACCTCGACTCATTGCATATAGGACATGTATCCAACGATTCATGCTCTTTGTAGAATAACATGCAATTGTTTTTGCAAGCATGAATTTTTTCATAACTCAATCCCAGACCATTCAACACCTTCTGCGCATGTTTATGGTCTTTCAGCAAACAATTGTCCGTCGGAATTATTCTCTTGAAAACCCCCAGAAAGTAATCGAAACACAGGTTCGACATACGATACTTTATTTTTCCGTGCATTAACTCCACAATGGCCGTGAGAACGGAAAAGCTCTTGCACCCCGGGTATAACTCTTGGTTGGCATTTTTTTAACAATTTTTCATATTGTTCAAATTCCGCACTGTCTATTAATGTAGGCACATCATCTTGCTTTTCTTGATTCATGTTGGTCGATGCAAATGGAAAAACATCCTGTATAATATCCATGACTTCATCATTAGCATCCACAATAGGTTGAACATTGTCCACTCTTGTGGCATTTGAAGACGAAGCATGCTCTAATTGTTCCCCGTGAAGGTTCCAAATGCTATATGTCTCAATCATTCCATTCCTTACTAAATGAAATCCAACATTTTCAATTGTCTCCCATAACGTGTTGTTGCACCTCCTACAAGGACAATAGATTCTAGTTGCACTCGGGTTGTGTCTACGTGCAAACTCAATAAAATCCTCGATTCCATCCAAGTATTCGTCTGCGCATCTGTTCGGGTTTTGTATCCACCTTCTGTCCATAATTCCTGAAACCAGAATCACAACACAACAATCACAACAACTTCATACGAAGTTATAATGTCACCTTATGCCTCCGGTAAGGGTCCTATCCCATTCGGGAATGCATACTCATGCCACGTAACCTACTACTACATGAGATTAGATTTCGACGTGGATGAATTTCGCCAGCATCTCGCTACAGTTCTTGAGGTGGCCATAGGTATAAATACCTACGTACCACCAGAAGAACGTACCGAGATGACATCGAAATCTCCACAATCGAAACCTAATCCTATAGCCGTAGATTACGTGACAACACTATGCATTACCAAACTGTCCAAATAATGGGACAATTCAAGAATTAATTGGACCGTAGTCATGTATGACGCATCCATGCACGAAATCCAATTAATCTCGAACGGGAAACTAAGTGTTACTAAATATAAAAATAAAAATATGAAGTTAATTTCAATTAACTTTGTACATCACAACATATTGTGCTACGTTACACACAATTTAACAACATAATATAAATATAACTTCACAAGAAAATTTTAAACATAACAAACTAACTTTAACATTATTAATATAAAAAACGAATAAAATACATTCTCAATCGTTCTTCACCAATCGCTAATTACAAATATCCCTAACGAAAACAAAATAAAAAGCCTTAGTACGAATTTAAATTAATACTTTTAAACTAATGACGAAAAATATTTACCCAATCAATGTATTGAAGTCCCAGCAGCGGCAGAGAGGTTGAGAGAGAGGCAGAGGCAGAATGCTTTTTTTTTTTTGCATTCTGCCTCTGCAATAGCAGAATTCTAATATGAAGACGAAGGACTTTGCGCGACGAATACATAATTTCGTCGCGCAAACTTCCGTCGCAAAAAACGAAATATTCCGTCGAGCAAACCAAATTTTTCGTCGCAGAATCACCTGCCGACATCTAACTTTTGCGCGACGCAAGTGTCTTTCGTCGCGCAATATCGTCGCCCAAAAACAACATTGCGTCGCGCAAAACCGGATTTCGTCGCGCAAACGTGAAACTTTACGCGACGAAGAATATGTACGTCGCGCAAAAAAAATATCCCAACCAGGTAATTTTGGCGCCAAAAATAAAATATCCCTCGTTTTCTTACGCGACGAAACTTCTTCTCGTCGCGCTAAGCTGTCTTTTGCGACTAAGAGTTTCGTCGTACAAGTTTTTACCGCCAAATAAATGGACCCACTGGTTTCTGTCCCTTTTTGGGCGACGAATCCGGGAACCGTAGCGCAAGGTTGTCTTAAGCGACGATATTCCTCGTCGCGCAAATGTTTCGCGCAAAAAAAATTTTCCTCGCTCTTTTTAACTCTCTTTGCGCGACGACGAGTTTTTTGGTCACACAAATACATTTCGTGCGACGAAAAATTTGGTCGCGCAAATTTTCAGTGGTTTGCGCGACGAATAATTTATTTTGGTCGCGCCAGTGTGTTTTGCGCGACAAATTAGTGTTCGTCGCCCAAACTTTCGTCGCGCAAATGGTAAAACGTAGTAGTGACCCTTCTTACCAAACTTGACAAAATGGTTTTAAAATAAGGAATTAACATGCACATGCGTATTATGAAGAGAGAGAGAGGAATTAACATGCCGGCTATACTCTTTACTCGGCTCTTATATTTTGAATTTTTTTTAAAAGAAGAAAGCGTCTAGCCGCGCTGCATAATCGGTTTTTCCTAATTATTTTAAAATGAAATAGTACAGCCGAACAGCTATACTCGGTTTTATAAAAAAAATTAAAAAAAATTAGTATAGCCAGCGGCCATAGCCAGTTTTTGTAATTATTTTTTAAAATAGTACAGCCGGGCGGAGATATTCCTTTTTTATAATTTTTTAAAAGAAATCGTATCGTCGCATGGCTATACTCGGTTATTCTTAATTATTTTTAAAAGGAAATGGTACAGCCGCGTGGTTATACTAGGTTTTTAAATTTAAAAAAAAAAACAAATAGTATAGCCGGTCGGCTATAAGGGTTTTTAAATTTTTTAAACTAGTATAGCCGGGCGGCTATACTCGGGTTTTTAGTGTTTTTAAAGGGATAGTGTAGCCGGTCGGCTAGACTCTGTTTATGTAATTTTTAAAAGAAATAGTATAGCCGTTCGGCTATACTCTGTATTTAATTTTTAAAAATAAATAGTATAGCCGGGCGGCGATACTCGGTTTTTTAAATTTTTTTAAAAGAAATAGTCTAGCGACGCGGCTAGACTCGGGTTTTGTAATTTTTTTCGGTTTTTTTTTTTTAAAAAAAGAAATAGGATAGCCGCGCGGCTATACTCTGTTTTGCCTTTTTTTTTTAAAAAAAAATAGATAGTACAGCCGTCCGGCTAAAAATAGTTCAGCCGCGCGGCTTTTCTTGGGTTGGGTCCTTTTTTAAGGCCTTTTCCTTAGTTTTGACCTTTCCGTTAGGTTGTCCATTCTGCAACGACAACAAACTACATCAGCTGGGGTAACACTCCGATGCTAAGCAGCCATGGCTAAGAAAAGGAAAAATTAGCCAGACTTTTTGTTTGTTTGAAAGGGTAAGGAGAAGCGGAAAGGACCATTAAGAACTAACAGTAACCTGATTAACCTTCTTCTTTGAATCAGTTTGGCGTGACTTCTGGCCAGAAACTGGAAAACATCAACAGATTCACCGTTCTGAGTATTCAGATACCAATATTCACAATAAGAACACAGCGACCTTTTGGAGATGCTAGTTTCCTTGGATTTCTTTGTGTTTCATGAACCTTTGAAGAGGGAAGCTGTACTTGACTTTGCATACCGTCGTCCACTTTCTGTATAAAATTGAGCAAAATAGCTGGTGGGTACATACAAAAGTAAAATTTTAATGTCGGAATTCACCAAATTAAGACAAATATTAGGATATTCCCACTAGCATGCTTCTTTTGCAAAAAAGAATTGCTACTTTTTTGGGGTTAATTTTCTGCAATACTCCATGCACATAAAGTTACAACATAAAATTATTTTGCACAGACAACCTTCTGCTTCTAAATTTATATTTCAATAATAAAGAAGATTAATGATACACACAATTGCAGCTATGCCGACTATACATTCTTTTCTCTTCTACAATTTTAATCTCGTACAAAATTTGAATCCAATCAGTATCATAACAAAGCCGGAGAATTCTGGTATCTCTCAAACGGTCATGAATGTAGACCACGCAATTCGGATGATGCAGGTGAAGACGTTGCCGGGAGTGATGATGGCAATACGAGATTGCCTTCCGTCTTTGGTTGGTATTGGATTCTTGGAGCATCAGTTTGTGGCGTCTCCAAAGAGAACAAGCTCTTGAAAAATTCATATGATGCAAAGAAAAGCGCTCCTTGAGACATATACATAACCAATCTTGGAGTCAATCCCCTGACAGTCAGCCACAATAAGAAAAATTGTCTTGCCATCGTCATATCAAGCATACAGCTCAGTAACAACCAAAAAGTAAAAAAAGAAAAAGGAAAAAACAGAAATTTACAAGGGACCTCCTTTACAAATTTCAATGGCTGGAAAGGACAGAAATGGACCAAAACATACCTGTAGAGGCCTTTCAGACCTTCATTCTTTCCTATTTCCTGAAGGGCATGAATCACACTATTATACTGGCTCATAGACCCTGGAATCTGCATAACAGGCACTTTATAAGAAGCATTGGCAACATATACATTATATAATTTGAGTTTTGTTCAGTTGAAACATTCTTTGTGAATTTCGGTATAATTTTTCAAGGGCCAAAGCTCCAGGAAAAATATGACCTGTTGAAACTCTATAGGCACCAAAATGAATGTCATCCTGATTTCTGAGTCAAATCTACTTCAATAGGCTAGCAAGATTATTAATCATTTTGTTATTGAACTTCTAATGCTCTTAGAAAGCTATTTCAGAAATGGGAAAAGTAGCTGGTGGGAATCATGAATTAATGGATGAGACATTTTTGGCATGAAATACCCTGACAGTAATTGTTGAACATCAGAAAAAGTTAATAATGAAACAGACACTATAAAAAATGCATAAAGATTACAAACCTGTGTCTGCAATCTCGTCTTGACAACATCAAAAGGAGTTGTTAATAAAGCAGCAGTAGATCCAGCTAATCCACCACAAACTAGCTGCAGTGGTGGAAAAACATCTTAGTGTAACTGGGACGAGAAGAGAACGAAAATAACTTGCTAAGACCCAATTGCAAAGAAGGTATATTATAGTTCAAATGGAAGAGGTTTGGGGTAGAGAAGAGGTTAACAAACTGTTTGTAATGTGGTGGGATGAACACTAGCTTCATTCGGGGACAACATAAATTGCTTCAAGCTTTCATATGTATAGAACTGCAGTAGCAATACACAAAGTCTAAAAAATTAAATGCTGAAGTAGAAAGGATGAGAAGGTAGTAATAAAATAACCAGGGAGAGTTGCAAGCATCCAAAATACAATGCCAGAGGACATTTCTGACCCTCTCTCTCGCCTCTCTTCACACATATCTTCTTGGCACAACTCCTTTCTTAAGCACATAAACTATTTCAGAATGTAGAAATAACTGACCTTGACAATTGAGTGTGGAACATTCCTGCAGAGTACAGCTCCCCACCCAGCATACAATGAAGGCAATCCTCCATTCCGAATGATTCCCAGCGATGCATTCCTTTAAAAAAAAATTAGAATGGTTGAAACAGAAAACTAACAAAACAGCAGTTCTATGTGAGGACCATGCCAGAACTAGAGTTGGCAGCTATAAAAAAAAATATTTCTAGAGGCTCACACAAAGGAAATTACATTGAATTTACAATATAATTAGCAAGAAAAGTTAAGTTTTCAAAACTTTACATAAAACTCTGAATGAATGGAGCAATCAAAATCAACACCTAGTGCCTACACTGGAGTAAATACTATATGAGTAGTGAAATTGGCAAAGATTATACAAGGATCTTAAAGATTTACCAGCAGTTGTTATAGTGGGAACCAACTTGCATCTGCTGCTTTATACGCTCACTAGGGGTAAAAATAAAGGAAGTAGCAATGCTTGCACAACCGCCTGCCACGCAATGGGCAAAAGAGTAATACTCCTGCACAAAGGAAAAGGGTAAGACTTAGAAAGCGTATGGGTGGCTTCACAATAGGTTCCAGAAAGTTTGTGACTTGTTTTCTCCCTCCCCACCACGCTTCCACATGAGAATTAGAGTTGCAAACAAATAGATAAACAAAGTAGAATAAAAAGAGGGGATGGAGAAGCATATGGACAAAGCCAGTGCCAGAGAGAACAAAAACAAGATAGTAGAGAGGATCTGCAGAGCAAAAGATCAGGATGGCACCTTAGGAAAAAGAGGAAGCAAGGCTCCCTTAACTGATTCATATGTAAAAGTATAAACTGCAGAAATTGGAGCTGAAGATGCAATATTTGTAGCAATACCACGATAAAGTCCAGTTAAACCTAAAATCAACATCACCACAATCAGTTTTCAGACATCATAAGAGAAAGTTGTCTAGCGTCATAAAGATAAATTAGTTCTCTCTTTTCAATTCCCATAAATTAACTCACCTCTATCAGACACAATTGATTTTCCAATGTAGCATATAGACTTCTGCTCAGCTCGACAAGACTGAACAACAGTCTTAATTGTATCAACAGGATGAAGACAAACGCTAACAAATATTCCAGACAATGCACCTGCAAAGGCATGTTCTTGCTTAGCAAGAGCACAATGAGGCTTTTCACATGCTAATGCACCGATCTCTGTCTTGCACTCATCCTGGATGATAAAGATTTCAGATTGTTTCTTTTTGCTCCCAAGTTGTTCATGATCATCTATCTTATGAGGAGATTCTTCAAACTGATCTTTACAGGAAGCTAACGAGTCTATATGATAATCTGTGTATAGATTAGAACATGGGGTCCTTGAAATACTACCATCTACCTCACTACCTACAGCCCTCAGGAAATAATCTGAAGTCAGAGAAGTTCTTGTATTTGTCTCCAATTTTTCATTGTCATATAACAATAAGTTGTAAGCATTTGTGGTCAAGTTATCGACAGGACTACTTGTATCTCCTGAAATGGATCCCCCTGCAATGTTAACTGTATCTCCTGAAATTGATCCCCCTGCAATGTTATTTGTATCTTCCAGAATGCAGTATTGACCAGTTCTGTTCTCAATCTCAGTAACTTTGACTGGGCATTTTAATCCAGAAGAAATTGTATCACTCATCCATCCATATATACTTCCCAATTGGTATGAGACTTCTAAACTTGCAAGCCCCTTTCCCCTCCATGATTCTTGAGAAATATTCCCACCCCCATGCAAAAACCTCCATAATGATGAATGACAATAACTTCTACTGTAAGGTTCAAACACAGACATCTTTTCGCTTACCTGCAGAAAATCTAAACTCGGTTGCATTAAATCAACAGTTAAGTACTTACTCTTGGCTGAAATAGGCGCTACGTCATTTCCCTCCCCACCCAGATCAGCCAAGACAACCTCCTTCTGACAGCCACTGTCCTTGTGGTTTGAGTTTGCCTTGGGTTGAAAAAATCCAAGAGGACGACTTGCACAATCCCATATCTGGCCAACTGCCGAGATGAGCATAGCATTGCTCAATATCGCAGGAGACTTGGGCTCCGGTTTTCTACAGCGTTGCTTATTAATTTTACCAGAAATGAAGGGGGGATATTTTTCGTGAACAAAATCAGCAAGCCCAGAGGATGCTGGACCTACTGGGTACCACCTGTATTTGATCGAAGGCTGATCATTCTTATGCCGTTTATTGCACCCAGCCATTTTCTCAAATCTTTTAAGGGTTTCCTTGAAAAAGAAGAGTGCAATATCTTGATAGCAAAGTAACTGCATAAGGGAATTAACAGATTGCATCATTAAATGTGACTAATAACATAGAAACAACCTATCTTAATCTCACTCATTGCCCTTAGATCTCTCCCCCCTCAGAATTACACAACGTTGGTTTTATTTTCCCCACTCTAATCAGTAGCATTCAGCTAAATAATTTCAAATTTTCGGTAATAACAACAATAGAAAACACGTTAAATGGAAAATATAAAATCAATACCAGTCAATTTGTTCCCATTTCTTATTATCTGCATATTATATGAAAAGAGCTCAGCTCCAGCTGCTCCGATCCACAGGAATCCAATGAGCCAATTAACAATACATGAATCCTGAATGGGAAATAAATTTCACAAGTAAGACATTATTCCATCCCAATTAAAACCCTCAAACAGTTCGTCAAATCAAACCCATAAGATAACTAACACTTTTCACACCATCTACACCCAGAAAGAACAGAGTTGTACGATTAATGGAACACATTTTAACATTCATATGCAATTGCATAAGAGTATAAAAAAAAATCTTATAAATGAAACCCAACAATCTTCAAAAAGGAATACTAAAGATCAAATTCAACTATACAGCTCAGTTTGGATTTCAATGAAACTAAGCAACATTACACACAATAAGATTTCAATGATCAGATTCTTTTCTCTTCCCCAGCTTTCTCAGCAGCCAAACAAGAAAAAATCATGAATAATGCATCGAATTTCAACAGGGAAAGAATTTGAATCAGTAATTTAGAATTGCGAGTATAGAAACCTTGACGAAAGTGGCAGCGCTCGAGCTGAAATCAGAATCTCTGTCTTTCTGTGGCTCATTTCCCGAGAAGATTTGATGGAAAATTTAGGGTTTAAGGTGGATGGTGTGGGTTTTATACAGAGATTTGTAGCATAAATTCAAATTATGCTTCTATATATCACTTGTGCGCACGTTACTGAATGATTCGAATTCTTAGTGGCACTACGCTAACGTGAACCTGGTGGAAATTGCATTGAAGGGTTCCTGTGCACCACTGTACCTGAATACGTGGTGACTAATCATTGGCCAAAATTAAAAAAGTTCAAAGAAAAAAGTACAGCATTTTTTAAAAAAATATTAAGCAATTAAAAAAATGATGAAATTCAAAATAAAGAAAATTATGTTCTAGAATTTGTCACGGCCCGCATGTTCAAGGCCCAACCCATTAGATTGATCATGCTAGACCTCTTAGCCCACATGTCTAGATTCATTGTATAGTAGTTGGTAGACTACAGTTGGTGACAGTAGTTGGTAGATGTTGGTAGGTGACATTGTATCTTACCCACCTACTGTGGTGGTAGGTGGGATAAGGATAGTATATAAGGGGGATGACACATTGTGTATCCTCACATCACAACTTGTAAAGCATTTGAGTAGCAATACAAGCATATATTCTCCCAAACTCTGTTAAGCATTCTTACTGTTCTTGCTCTTGCGATTGTTCTTTGCTTGGTTCGATCTTGTATTGTAGGAAGGAGGCTGACTTAGCTTGTTCGAGAGGCGATCAAGTCTAAGGCCGCACGGAAGGAAGACTCCGAAAAAGTCATCCCGTGACA